CTCAACATAGGAGGGGCTCATGTGTTTAAGCAGGGATTCTGTTTCCCTGAGTGAAAATAAATGCTGGTTTATGGACAAGTCCCAACTTGCTAGCTGTAACTGCAGTCTCTTTCTCTTCCAATGAGTCGAGGCTGATGTTGCATGAAAATTGCTGATGTCTAGCCGTGCTATTCAAAGTATGTTTTATGGACCAGCAGTTCCAGCATCACCTAGGAGCTTCTGGAAAACTGGGAATCTAAGTGCCATCCCACGTGGACTGAAGTGGAATCTGCATTTTAACTAGTTCCCTAGGAGATTGTTTGCCTGTTATATTTGGAAGACACGGGTCTAGAAGCGTATGGTCCTGTACCTTGTGGAATGGAACTTTTGTTCTTGACTCTATCACTGATATTGAAAAAAGTCACTCACTCTTTTTCCAATATCTTCACTTTCCCACCCATAAAATCATAGCTTTTATCTTCCTTGACCAAGCACTTGTGAGGTGAGGTGCGATCAAGTGCCCTATCTGGCAGTGATAATCAAAGTCCTGCTATTTTATGTGGGGAAATTGAAAGAGGCACTTGAGAGGAAGGATAAATATTGCATGGGAACAATTCACTGTCAGACAAAATTCATTTATTTTGCTTCAGGAGATAAAGGAGGTGGAAATAATTAACTTGGCTTCCATTTCTAATGGGAGAGTTACGAGTGGTGTTTTCCGCCAATCATTTTTTTCTTGCTCTTTGTAAATATGGTACAATAAGAAAAATAAGCTAGTGCTTTCTAGTATGAAATTATAATTTAGAAAAATATTTACATAACAATGGAATGGGGATTTGTAACAAATATTATTTTACAGAGAAGACTTTTTGCAGTACAAGAACAGCCAGAGAGGATTAACCAGCCAGCCTGCTCTGGTCTTGGTATGGCAATGGGAAGGACTCTCACCTCTGCTTAAGGTCAATCTGTGTTTTTTTTTTTTTTTTTTTTTTTTTTTGTGCATTTGTACCCTTTGGATCCTTTATTATCTTGAGATTCTATTCCTCAACTTCTTGAATTATTATTGTTCGTTTTACGGCCCTATGAAGACCTTAGCATAAGCCCTGAGCAACAGTCAAAACAAATTTAAGCCTCTGGCTAGGTTGTGAATTTGATTGGATCACAGGTGTGTCCTGGGTATTAATGTTTTCCATCTCAAATTATGACAAATGTGCACAAGCACACACACACACGTACACACACGTACACATACATATGCACACACAAGGGCACACAGAACAACAAAGGTCTCTTCTTGACTCCTAATGTTACCAGTTGTAATGTTAGTTTCCTTATGTCTGTGGGTGAATCTGGAATCAGGTTATTAAAAGTCAAATATATAGTGTTTCTGCCTCAGGTTTCCTTTGAGGAGGAAGAAATCCTGGTAATTTGCCTGTCTTTTTTCCTCATTTCCCTGACAGGTTTAAGCTTATATGAACATACTTGCTCTTTATTATCTTGTTTCTGGATGAATTAAAATAGACTGTCTTTTCAACATTACATATAAATTTTAGGTGAATTCTGCATTAAATTTAGTAACTTAAGCAGGTTTATGTTAATTTGAAAATTCAATTCTATCTTGGAGGGTCGAGTTATACACACACACACACACACACACACACACACATATCCTTATGGATAATAACCTAAAGTTTAAATTGCAGAAAAGAATTGGGGAGGGGGAGAAATACAGCTTCTGATATTTTTAACATAAAAATCAAATATTTTATTTTACATATATTAAATAATATTAAAATTGTCCAGTAAAAGAATCCTATTTATTTTTCATTTAGGAAAGAAGCTTAATGCCATGTTATTCCAATATTATTATTTTCATCTTTCTTGATTTAATATCAATTGAGTCATATATATTATCTTTATATAATAATTCTTACCCTGACATAACTGCAAAGTAAATGATTATTAAAAAGTAGTTTTGTTTTCAAGCACCATCTTTAGGACAGGGTGGAGCTGCCTGGTGATCACAGAGAAGATTCTCTAGCATTATGATTTAGTATTTCATTTGTTTAAATTATATATATATATATATATATATATATATATATATATATATATATATATATATATAACCTAATTTAAAATGCTGTGGTATTGAAAGCTATGCACCCAGGCTTTATTCCAAGTAGTGTCCTACCTGGCTGGCTATATATTTTAAAATAAAGGCCATGTGAGATTATTGTGTCCTTGTTTGTCTGAAAACTCCAAACCTTCAATCCTAATGTCTCTTCTGTAAATAAGATGTCTTTCCATTTAATTTTCTGAAGACATTTTAATGTCTTCTGTTACCCAGGGACTATTTCATGCTTACAGTTTCTGCTGTGGACATATTATCAGATATCATGACAGCCTCATAAAAGCCTACAATGTTACAACTGTACAGAGATATGTTTCCCATACTATAAAATGCATGCACAGGTGTACAGTTCAGTGGTTTTTAGTACATTCACAGATATGGGCAACTGTCACCACAAATTAATTTGAGAACATTTTCAGCACCACCAAAACCACTTTACAACATTAGCTGACCTCCTTACTCCTGCTTGCCTCCTCCCAAACTCCAGGCAGCCGCTGTTCTACCTTCTGTCTCTGTGGATTTGCCTGTGCTCAACATTTCATATAAGCAGGATAATACTGGATATGGTCTTTTGTGACTGGCTACTTTTGGCTGTCATAATGATTCCAAGGTTTGTTCATGTTGCAGCATTGTGAGTCTTTAGTATTTCATTTCTTTTAATAACTAAATACTTTTCCCTTAGGCATACACTACATTTTGTGTATCCACTCGCCTGTTGATGAACATTTAGGCTCTCTCCTCTCTTTATCTGTTATGTATAATGCTGCCATGAGCATCCCTGCACAATTGTGTGAACATGTTTCTCACTGTCTCCACACATCACCAAGAGTGGAATTGTAGCATCCCATGGTAACTCTGGGTTTAGGATTTTGAGGAATGAACACTCCTTTTTCCAAAGTGGCAGTTACAGTTTACATCTGTGCTAGTGAGGCAGGAGGATTTCAATTTCTCCACCTCCTTGACCACACTTAATGTTTGTTCTTTTTTATTTTAGCCATCCTTGTAGGTGTGAAGTTGCATCTCATTGTGGTTCTGATTTGCATTTCTCTAATGACCAGTGAGGTGGAGCGTCTTATCATGTTCTTGTAGACAAAGGTCCACTTTTGATGTTTGCCTCTAGCCTGAGCCAAAAAGCCTAATTATCTTCAGCTACAGTTTTAAATATCTTCTCCCTTACTTTTGTTAGAGAACAAAGAGGTTGTGCAGTTTGGTACTTTAAGTCAGTGACAAAGTTAATACATCGTCTTTGCTCTCCATTTTACAAGACTGTTGGGAACCCTCGTGGTAACTTTCTGGGATTGGTGGGAGAAAACTAATTCTTGCTTCAGGATTCCTAATCTTAGTGGAGTGAACTGTAAAGTGAATGGAGTTTGCTTGATTCCGGGCTCCTAGAGTGCTGTTCTATGCTTCTCTCTTCTCCTCGATGAGCCTGTTTTGTTCAGGTTCTCTTGTGTAGGTCTCCCGGGTTTGTTCTCCGGACAGGATGTAAAGCATTATAAGCACTAAAGAGCACATGGTAGAAAAAGAAATATTGCTGTGGATCTTTCCCTGAATTATTTTCAGGGAAGGAAAAGAATACATGATTGAAATTCTGTGTGAGAAATTAAGGCAACATCAAGACATGATTTTCTTTGGGTGACCTGGGCATCATTGGAGGTCTGTACAGTTTTACAGGATTGAAACCCATACCCAGAGGAGCTTAACCAAGGTGAGAGATTGGCTCCCACAGGCTGAGAGGGCACCAATGGTCTCATCAAAAGCCATGTCTCAGAGTGGATTAGCTTGGTTGTTCTTGGGATGCCACCTGAAAACTTCCAGCTCACATCACCACAGCATTCTGTTTAAGAGAGATGCTTCTCTGATACCCTTGAAATGAAGTCCTGGAACTGAGTCTTCCTGGCCCCATTGGCTTGACCTGAATCACTTGCTCATCACTGAGTCATGGACTGTGACCAGCACTGTGGGCTGCATGACTTAGTCTAGTCACTTCATGTGGGCCGGGGAGGGGAAGATGTGGTGGAGAGGGGAGGAGAGTGTGTGCAGAGTGACGAATGGCCGTTCTCTGCTCACAACCACAGACCACAGGCTGGCATCGTTCTCAAAGGGCAGTTCTGAGAAGGACACCCAGCGGTCATCCAAGGCCGTGGTGTTCAAAGTTGGGAGTGTGTGTTAACTTGCAGGGCTTGCCTGTTCCACCTGGTGTTTTAGAAGCAGATGATTTATCTAGTTTCACAGGTCCAAAGCTGGAGAGGTATTCTGTACCAGGATCTTACCAATACCCAACTTCAATGACATTTGGATGAGATTTTGGTGTTAGGTTGATGTTGACGTGGATAATTGAGGAGATGTTGGACTGGAATGAAGATATTTTTCATGTGAGAAGGAAGTGAATTTTGAGGGGGCAGCAGGTAGACTCTTACACTGAATTATGTCCCACCCGAACTCATGTTGCAGTCCTCATTGCCTTCCCCCAGTATGTCAGAAGGTGACCTTATTGGGAAATGTGTCGCAGTTGCAATTCATTAAAATGAGGGCGTTCTGGTGAACCTTTATTCCACTATAGCTGGTGTCTTTGTTCAAAGGGAGGTTTGGACCCAGTGACATGCAGGCAGGGAAGATACCATGTGAACTGGAGTTAAGCTGCCACAAACCAAGGGAGGAACCAACAGAGGCAGGAAGAGGGGCCTCGAACAGTTCCTTCTCCAGGATTTTCAAAGAGAGCACGGCCTAGACAAGAAAACACAAAACAAAACAAAACAAAAACATTTTCCTATAGTTTTGGAGCTCAGTCTGAGATGCAGGTATCATCAGGTAGGACCACAGTGTCTCATGTTCTCTTCTTGTTTTAACCGGTTGTGCTGTTATTTCTTCTTCTTCTTTTTAATAGAAGAAACAAAAGCACCTGAAGATGATGAAATGGAGAAACTTTACAAATCATTAGAGCAAGCGAGTCTGTCTCCTCTTGGGGACCGCCGGCCTTCGACCAAAAAGGAGTTGAGAAAGTCATTTGTGAAACGCTGCAAGAACCCATCCATCAATGAGAAACTTCACAAAATTCGAACCTTGAATAGCACATTGAAGGTAAGACGGTTTCCGACTATGGATAAACTCTGTGGATGTGAGGCAAAGGACGGGCTCTGCAGAGGCTCATGATAACAACAGTGTGTTTGTGGGGGTGGAGGCCAGGGCAGTAAGGGTAAGTGTGATCTTTAGAGAGTAAGGTGACCTGGACATCCTTCAGTCACTAGGACCTTTCCACAGTGGCACCCATGTGTTTTTCCACAGCAGGCCTTCCTTTTACTTTCACTCTGCTATGAAGTTTCACAATGTTAAGCTCCTACATGGCAAGGACCACACACCATTTGTTTTTGTAGCCCTTCTGCCTCAGTTTGCAGACAAAGACAAATATTCAGTAAAATTACTGTACCTGGCAACCAAACCCCCAGCCTCAACAATAAGCATTTACTATCTCAGACTTTCTGTGGTTTTGGAATTTGGGAGTGGCTTGGACAAGCGTCTACATCTGTGAATAAACATGACCATGAGGCTGTGACTAAGGTGTCCCCTAGCACAGTACCTGGCTCAGTAACTGTTGACTACAGATGGAGATCATCAGTGGGTGAGAATCAGCTCTTGGGTTTTCACCTGATTCTTTTGAGGGAGCCATTCTTCTGAGCTATATCTGGGAGAAAGTCCTCATTTTCTGGTACAGCAAAGACTTTCAGCTGTAGGACTTGCAGCCAAGTAACACCGCGAGAGCCCGGCAGTGAGCAGCAGACATCTTGTGGTAACAGAGGAGCAGATGTTTTCACAATGGGAGAGAGGGACCATGCACAGGATGTACTGAAGCTATTTTCAGGGTCTCCCATAACTAAAATGCTTCTTTATAACAAAAGCATCCTGCTTTCACATTTAGATTATAACATGAGCAGGAGAAAGCCAGGAGACTTTGTAAAATAGTCCTAAATTAGCAGAACATTTGTAGATTCTGAAAAGCCTTGATAGGTCCTGCAATTTAATTCTGTTTTGCTCATGTCCCTTTGCATTAAGAATTTGAGTCCTTTTCCTGAAAGAAATGTCAGCAATCAAAAGAACAAGGCTACAAAGACATGGCTGAAGGGCTCTTGTTAGTCAGAATTCCAGTAAGTCAACAGCAAATCAATAGCACTAAAGGCTGAAAAAATGAAGTTGGAAAAAAAAGTGTATTTTTAATTATATAAAGAAACTCCAAGTGCAGAGAAATTCCCTAATATTAAATGATGGAAATATATTGCTAGCATTTATTCCACAGTGTGTACAGAATTGATTAATGTGGTGAGTCACTCAGTAATATGCCATAGTATGTTAGAATTTTACTATTTGTCTTTGTCTGCAAAAATGGAGATGAGTAAATAACTTTTCATCAAGCAGCATTTCCTGAATCATACTGTGTACCAGGCACTAGTCTAGGTCACGGTGACCATGGAGTGAAAAACCCTGGGCAAATGGAAACAGAGAGAAGAACACACAACTAGAATGCAGTGTGGTGTGAATGCAGTGGAGATGATCTTGGGGGTTTGGTTGCCCAGAGAAGGGAAGTGACTGACCATCAGGTCAGTGAATGACAACTGGTCAGTGAGAGACAGATGAAGAGTATCGGGAAGGAAAGGGAAGGGCCTTCCAGGAAGTGCAGTGTCTATCAGTAGAAGATACACTACTACCCATATTTGGGAGAAATAGGAGGTAGAGGCTAAGGAGACCAGGGGCCACGTGGACCATTTGCAGGAGAGAGACTGTGGCCTCTGACTCTCCATAGAGCAATGGACTAAAGATGTCAGACCTTCACAGGGGCATGCACCAACCAAAGAAGTCCATAGGGCCCTCTGTGACAGTTGGTTTATTTATTTATTTTTTTTGGTGCAGTTTGGCCACGTCATCAATGAACTCAGCAACTTTTTCTTTTCTCCCAGTATATTACTGGGTAATCTGTTGCTAGGTAGCAAATTACCCCCAAACTTAGCAACTTCAACAATAAGCATTTACTATTTCAGACTTTCTGTGGTTTTGGAATTTGGGAATGGCTTGGATAAGCTTCTGCATCTATGAATAAACAGGCCATGAGGCTGTGACTAAGGTGTCCCTTAGGGCTGTGTTCATTTCTCCCCTGGGAAGGATCTGCTTCTAAGTTTTCTCTGGGTTGTTGGCAGGTTTCTGTTCTTTGCAGGTTGTTGGACTGAGGGTCTCTGTTGCTCTCTGGCTGTTGGTTGGAGGCCACCCTCAGTTCCCTGCCATATGGACTCCTTCATAGGAAGCCTGCAGCCTAGAACTGGCTTCTCTCAGAGTGAGCAAGACAGCGAGATTGAACAAGCAGCATGAGTTAGAAGTCAACATCACCTTATTTCTATACTGTTCTATTTAGTAGAAAAGCATGTCATTAGGTAGGTCCATACTCAGGGAAGGGATTATACAAGGAGATGAATCTCAGGACATATGGACATTAGGCTCCATGATAGGGTTGCCTCCGATGGACGCTGGACTACCCTCTATTCATTTGAGGAGAACAGCCCTTTCCATACATCCTTTAGGTCTTGTGAAAGTGCAGTTCTAGGGCTGATGAAAGTAGTCCATGTCGTGTGGACCTGTCAAGGTCAGGAGGTTGAGGAGAGGATGGTGTGGAAATTAGCCTTGGTGAAAAACAAATAGCAAACAAAAATGAAGCATATCAGCTTATCCAATGGGGAAAGAGAAATTAGCATACGTGATTATTCATGTTGAAAAACTATAATAGTAATTACTGTTTAGCTCCTTTTTAAAATTCAAAGCAGTTAGGCTGGGGACATAGCTCAGTTGGTAGAGTGCTTGCCTTGTATGCACAAGGCCCTGGGTTCAATCCCCAGTACCAAAAAAAAGGCAGGGTATCAGTTGCCCTTGAGGGAGAAGAGGATTTGGCTGGGAGGGGCAATAAGGGGAGCTTCAGATGTGCTGGGTAAGGGTCCTTTTTTGACCCTTGTTATGGTTACTTGGATATGGTTATATGGTGATAGTTCATCAAGCACAAATTTTTCTGTCTGTGCACTTTTCTCTGTGTAATAAAAAATTGCATTGTAATAAAAGGTTGGTTTAAAAAATGCTTCAAACTGGACACAGTGGCGCATGCCTATAATCCCGGTGGCTTGGGAGGCTGAGAAAAGAAGGATCGCGAGTTCAAAGCCAGCCTCAGCAATGGCGAGGCACTAAGCAACTCAGTGAGACCCTATCTCTTAAAAAAAAAAAAAAAGAGCCCCAGTAGTTAAGTGCCCCTGAGTTTAGTCCCTAGTACCAAGAAAAAATACTTCAAAGGTGGAATGGGGTGAAGCAAGAGCAGCAGTTTCATACAGAAACAAAGAAAATGTTGTAGTAATAATGTTTATGTTAGTAATAGGTGCATTCCATAAAGAAAAACCCCTTCATTGGGATGTTATTGGAATGCATGCTCTTTGGGGAAATTCTTGGAAGTTGAGCAAACTGTTATGTCATATACTATAAATGGAAATCTTTTGGAATTTCTGCTAGCTCAACATTCATGGACTTTTGAGTAAGCCTGTCTTTAGTTTAAAATGAATGATTAATAGAATGGTTAGTGGGGCAGAAGGAAACTCCTTCAGTCACTCTGACCTATTTCACCAGGAATGAACCCTGTCTTCCCTGAAGCTGCGCTGCTGGGCACTGTGCCAACATGCTTAGGTCTTGAGTCAGACCATGAACTGAATATTTGGAGGATAAATGGAAAAATCCACATTCTCTCTTTCCTGGCATTGTGGCGACCCTGAAACCTTGCTTTCCTGACATAAAGAAAGGTAGACCTTGGCAAAGTAGCCTTTGATAGCTACTTCCATAGCTTCATGGGACAGCCAGGAGGAACAGGGCCACTGTGTGAGGCTCTGGCCCTGTGGGCACCTTGCCTGGGGAGGAGCTAAGAAGGTTTTGCCGTTTCATTAATACCCTGCTTCCGTACTTTTTTTTTTTTTTTTGTACTAGGGGTTGAACTCAGGGCACCCGACCACTGAAGCACATCCCCAGCCCTATTTTGTATTTTCTTTAGAGACAGGGTCTCACTGAGTTTCTTAGGGCCTCACCATTGCTGAGGCTGGCTTTGAACTCCTGATCCTTCTGTCTCAGCCTCCCGAGGTGCTGGGTTGCAGGCATGCACCACCATGCCCAGCTTACTTCTGTATTCTTGTTCATAGTTTTTTTCTTTTATCTATACAAGATCTAATACAGATTTCACCCAAATAGCAAGAAATTTGGATTGTTTAGAGCAGGAAACCAAGTGAGAAGTGTTAACCTCATTTCCAAAGACCTTTAGCTTTTTCCCCCAAATTTTTATCAGTTTTAAAGTGGCAGTTAATTCATTCTTGCCTTTTAAAAATCAATTTCCCAAATTTTCATCAATCTTCCAAGATTCTATTTAGTTTTCTCAATAAAATATTAAGATCTCCCTCTGAAGCAGATGTCTGAATTTCTTTAGAAAACATAAAACTCCCTGAATAACTTCATATTAATAGCACTGGGGGGCTGTCAGAGGATGAAAGCTTATTATTTATTCATATTTTATTTGAAAAAGAATTTTTTGAAGCATAAATATTGAGAACTCAGAAGAAAAGAAATAAAACTCTCTGGGCCTTGCCTGACTTCCACAAACAACCCTCTGCTTATCTACTCACCCTTTCTTTCTTCTGCTTCTGGGTCTTGGACCATGGCTTGATGTCCCTCTTTGGTTTCCTCCTGCTCCATTGTGTTTGACGTCAGCAACGTGGGGGTCACTCTTGGCCTTCACAGGAGCAGTTTTGGTGGGATGGTAGGGGGCAGAAACCTGGCAGGAGTGTCTGTGACATAATGGGCACAGGGACACGGGTGACAAGGAGAAAAATGGAGGGTGATTGGATAGGGGTTGGGGTCAGAGGGGACTTTTAAAGTGGGAGAAGTAGCCATGTGCAGGTAGCCTGGGACAATGACCCAGAAGAGGTGGGAAGTTGGCGAGCCACAGGCGAGCAGGGGCAGTGGTGCCCACGTGGAGGGACTGGCTTTGCGAGGAGGAGCACAGACATTTTATCTGTATGAACCGGAGGGAAGGCGCCTACATCTCTGGTGATGTAGGTGGTGAGTGATAGGAACTTGGGAGTACTTTTCTGATTATTTTCATTTCCTCAAAAAATACAGAGCAAGGTCATCAGCTGTGCGTGAGGTGGAGGGGCTGGTGCAAGATGAGATCACAGTGGTTTTTTTTATTTTTTAAATTTTTTATTGGTACCAGTGATTGAACCCAGGGACAATTAACCACTGAGCTGCATCCCAAGCACTTTTTTTAAATTTTTTTTTTTTTTATTTTGAGGCAAGGTATCACTAAGTTGCTTACGGCCTTGCTGAGTTGCTGAGGCTGGCTTTGAACTTGTGATCCTCCCACCTCAGCCTCCCGAGCTGCTGGGATTACAGGTGTGCGCCACCGTGCCCAGTAAGGTGACAAGTTTCAAACAGTCACTTTGGAGATGGGGAGAGAAAAGACAAGTGAAAGCATGATTACTGGATTGCATGGAAAGTCCTCTTATGAGCATCGTCCTGAATTGGGAGGGAGACCAGCAAGCATGGTTGGGAAGTTCTAGCTACACATGCTGCCCTAGGGTGGGCAGAGGCAGTGGTTCCCTCGTGGGAAGGTGCTGAGTGTGTACATGGCACATGGCATTGCGTTGGGTGCTGGATGTAAAGCAATGAGGAACATGTGTCCCTGTCACCTTCTTTAAGCTTTAGAATAGACAGCATGGCAGATCCAAGAGCATCTATATACACCACGGTAGGTTCAGAGCATCTGATGGCAGGAGAGTATAAAATGAAGAAGCTCCATAATCCAATTTGGGGGGTCTAGGGATGGTTTTCTGGGGAACATGCTGCTTGAAGCGAGTGTAGATGTTGGAGTTAAGTGGAAAAATTGGGTAAAGGAAGATTAGAAGGCGTTCCATGTGGAAGCAGCTCTGGAAATTAGAGTCCATTGGATGAAGAAAGGTAAGGAAGGTTCTTGATGCCGCTTGGCTTTATGGAGGCATAAAGCAGCCTTTGCAGGTCAATACTGTCACTGTGGAAAGACAGAGGGAGGGGGAATATCAACAAATGCAGCCGAGGTTGGAGAGGGGCCTGGGACACAGGGAAATCATCAAGAGGACTCTGCAAGTGGGCGCATCCCTGCCCTTCTGCCATGCAGAATGTGGCTTAAAATGGGGGCTGGGGCGGGGCCCTCACTTAGGAGGTCACAGTGGCAGAGCAAGGGTGACATACTGGATTGTGCCTCCAAAATTAGGACTCGGGTCCTAGGGACCAAGAAAACCACTTGAGATAAAATTGTCAAGAGCTGAGTGATCTACTTATTTTAGTGTGGAAAATGATGTATATTATTTTTTACTCCATTCCTTGACTCAGAAAACTGTAACTCAAGGCAGACAATTTAAAAAAAAAATGTGAGTCATTGCTTTCCGAGGAGGCAGATAAAATAGCACTAATGGAATTTTTACTCTATCAGCATTTTTGGAATACATACCATTTTGATATGAGGTTGGTGTTTCTTGACTAAAAAGATAACCCGCCTGTTTATTCTATAGATGCTGATTAAATACAATTTATCAAAAATCAATCAAGAATTTAATAACTAAAAAATTTTAAAAAGACATACTTTGTGCTCCTTTATGCGTTAAAGTGTTTGTCCTAGTTTTACTTAGTGAAGTTTGGGGGGGTCAATGAAATGCTTTTGCATATAATTCTCAGCTCCTGGAGGTGTACAGTTATGCTAACACCAAGGCAGGGTCATTTCTGGGGTGTAGAGTCATGGACAGAGCAGGTAAAAGCAGCATAGAGAACCTGGGCTCCTGTTACTTCTCCCCCTAACTCCTGGGAGGATACTTACCTTCCTTATGGCCAGCATATATAAACAGAGGTGGTGCCAGATTGCTTGGGCCTGGTGCAAGGATTCAAATATTGATGTGTAAAATCACTTTGATAATTTTATGAATGTACACGTGCCTTCGCAGAGGGTGGGTGAAGATAATTTATTGAAATTAAGATGCTCATGACATCCCCCTGTGCTCCCACTTTTCTTCCTGGGCAGTGCAAAGAACATGATCTGGCCATGATCAACCAGTTGCTGGATGATCCGAAACTAACAGCCAGGAAGTACAGAGAGTGGAAGGTCATGAACACCCTCCTGATCCAGGACATCTATCAGCAGCATCAGGCCCCAAGTGAATCTGAAGGCGCACCACAGGAGCTCACGAAGCCCCCTTCGCCGTCCTGTCTGGAAAATTCTATCTGAGAAAAAGCCAGAGTTCTCTCTTCTTGTATTTTACTGAAAGCAACTTTGCAAGATGTTGCAGGAGTTCTGTTTCTCCTTGATGGGAAAACTGAAGTTCCCCTCCTCAGCTCAGCTGAAGACAGTCACCAGGTGCAGCAGGACTCCTGGTTCCCCATCGAGTTTCCCCGTCATGGAGCCTGGAGTGATTTGGTTCAGCTGAGCAGACATGATTTTGTGTTCCTACTGGGAGCTTGTGGAGATGGTAGGCTGTAGGTGGGATGTGAGGAACCTATCTTCTATCCCCTGCTTTCAAGAGAATCACAATGTACCGTGCACAAAAGATCCAATTTTACTAGGGATAATGAGTCATAGAAGTATCATTTCTTCCCCCAAGAAGCATGAACATTCTCTACTTCACGGGCCACAGAGTACTCCAAAGCATTCTTTGAATGGAGGTGTGCTTTGTATAGCAACAGCTGGAACAGTCACAGTGGGATTGTGGAACAAAAAATCCTTTGCCATTGCTATAGAAAGGTGGTCCTTTTTCCACTTGTTGAGAAATACTTTACAGAGTGGAGTGTAGGAGGGCCCGCAGAGGGGATGTGTGCTGTGTTACACTCACTCAGGACTGGGTGGTATTTTCACATTTACCTGGATTGGGGGATATGGTTAATGTATCTTTTGTCACAGCAGTTAGAAAAAAACTACTCTTCACAGTTGGAGACCACTGCTCCTCCTTGGCCTCCCTACAGGACTGTAGGGAGGCCTAACAGGCCCAACAAGGAACATTCTGCTGCTTTTGTCTTTGGCTTGGTCCCCATAAACAGTATGGATTTATATCCAGTTTTCCTGGGATCAATATTGGAAAGAGGATTCTGGCATCGGAATTGTTTTAGTATCTGTACTGGAAGTGGGGGACTCAAAAACTAAAGATTTTAACATGATTGTTTTATTTTTGTAAGCTCATGTGTCACGGTGTGCTTTGTGAATAGCCATCTATGTTTTTTATTTAAATATATTTATAGAAGTTCAAATTAGTAGTGTTTTAAAAGATCATATACTATTCTATGTTTTGTTCAGCCTATATATTCTGGAAGTATACATACTTTTTGCTTGAGAAAACTAAGGATACTATTGATTTATCAGAGTTAGATTGCACTATAATGTACCAGGAATGCTCAGGAAATCTTGTGAGAAAACTATGGGGGCATGTATTAATAATTTTTCATTTGCTAAGATCTCTCTTTCTGTCTCTAATTCTCTTCATAGCTCTTAAATTGTTGTATTCATTTTAAGTCTTTTCCATAACTTTCATCTTAAGTGATCCCTTCTATTAAATAAACTTTTAAGTTTATGTCCATTAACCCTAGGCCAAATGAAACACAACTAATGTATTATTTTGACTAAATATCAATAGAAATGTCGGGTTTATTAAAGAGCTCAACAGAGAAGCAATATGATATTGTTCACTAATCACAATGAAGATTTCTCACCTTAATAATAACCACAACCCGCTGAGAACCAATTTGGACCCTACCTGCTGCTAGAAAATTGTTAGCGTAACACATTTCATTTTATTGCATCGAAGTGTGGCTTGACATTTAAATGCAGATAACCACCTGAATTGTGTCTGCAACCCTAAATGGAAATAGTTGTTGAGTATTTCCCCAAACTTTCCTAAGAGGTCTTCATACTCTATAAACAACAGAAAAACAACCTTAACATTAAGAAACAAAACACAAAACAGGAAGCAACCTGGAAACTTCTCTGAGATGAGGGACCCTATCGGTTGGTTTGGCTCAGCAAAGGTTCTCCTGCACCGAATGCAGCAGAGCGCGTAGAGATGTGCCTAATGAGGGGTCGCCTGGTCTTGGAATGGGGTGGTGTTCTGGTTTGAGAGTCTGGTGCTTTAACATCTTTATTCTGGCAATGATTCTTTCTGTGAATAGCAGGTTTTATAAGGTAGCAGGTTTTAGAAGCTTAGTGGTTTGGGATTCACAATGTAAACCAAGTGTGAAGGGAAAGCAGAAATAATGTAATGGAGGAAATCATAGAATGACACCAAGTGTTTTTCCACCTCTTTTTTGGTTTTGTTTTTCACAGTTCTTTTTCTTTCTATTTTTTTTTTATTGGTGCATTATAGTTATACATAATAGTGGGATTAATGAATACTGGTACATGCACACAATAAAACAATATAATTTGGTCAAATTTTGTTCCCTAGAACCTTTCCACTATCTGTTCCTTTCTTCTTCTACTGCAATGATTTTCCACATTTTTCTTCTTGTGATTCATAAAAATATTTATTTTATTTTTTTTTTTTTGGTACTGGGGATTGAACCAAGGGGCACCTAACCGCTGAGCTACCTCCTCAGCCTGTTTTTGTGTTTTATTTAGACACAAGGTCTCACTGAGTTGTTTAGGGCCTCATTAAGTTGCTGAGGCTGGTTTTGAACTTAAAATCCTCCTGCCTCAGCCTCCCAAGCTGCTGGAATTATAGGTATGTGCCACCATGCCCAGGTACATATTTAAAATTTTTAGTGCTTTGTAGTTGTACATAATAGTGGGATTAATTTTGACATATTCATAAATGAATACAGCATAGTTTTCTCCATTTCAATCCCCAGTATTATCCCCTCCCCACTCCCTGATCCCCTTCCTCTATTGGCCTTCCTCTTATTTATTTATTTATTTATTTTTAAATTGGTGCATATGTGTGTATATATGTGTGTATATGTGTATATGTATATACACACACATATGTGTACATATACATGGGAATGTGATATGTTCATACATACATGTACATATTTGTTCCCCAGTTCTTACCCCTTCCTGCCCCCTCTCCCTCCCTTTTGGTCCCCCATCTTTACTCTCCTGATGTCCCTTATATTTTCATGAGATCCCCTTTCGTTATTTCTTTATTGTCTCTAGCTTCCACATATTAGAGAAAACATTCCATCCCAACTTTCTGAGTCTGGCTTATCTCATTTAGCATGATGTTCTCCTGTTCCATCCATTTTCCAGTAAATAACATAATTTCATTGTTCTTCGTGACTGAGTAGAATTCCATTGTGTATATATACCACATTTTCTTTATCCTAAAAAATTAATTGCGGATTTATACCACATTTTTTTTTTTTATCCATGAATCTATTGACAGTCATGTGGGCTGGTTCTACAACTTGGCTATTGTGAATTGCACTGCTATAAACATGGTATGCATGTGTCAGTATACTATGATGATTTTAGTTCTTTTGGATAAATGCCAAGCAGTGGGATAGCTGGTTATATGGTGGGTCTATTCTTAGCATTCTGAGGAATCTCCATACTGCTTTCCAGAGTAGTTGTATTTTTTATTTGGTTTACAACATTAATTTATAAACCTCTGAGCAGTTTTTTCTAAATTGTAGATCCTTAAACACTTTTGACCAGAACTTGTGGATACATTTACATGTTTTACTTTGACTTTTCATCAATACCTCTTTGACTGAGTTTTTAATGTGAACTCCTTTAGTACATTCAAACTTAAAAGCTCAATCAGCCCATGAGATGGCTTGACTGAGGCTTAAAGTTTTTGCTCAAGTCACTTAAGAAAGTTGGCCTAGCAGTTTTTGCTTGGTATTTAAAATGTACTTTGCAGAACATTCCCAAATGAAATACTGCATTGCATGATTTCCACCCTATCTTTTTAGACCCAGATCCCCGATCATTAGTCATTTTTACTTTGTAAAGAAATGCTTTTTCTCCATACTAGGTTGAGTTAGGAAGCAGGAGACTGCTTCTTTGAGTTTCCAGCCTCAGCTATAGTCACTAAGAGGAGGATGGAGCTAGAGCAGAGTGGGAAGAAGAGTGGGTGATACTTTTCATGACACTCAGTATAAAAGGAACCTGGTAAGTTATGCCTTGACTTCAAGTCACTTTTCCTGTCCAAAAGATATTGAGAAAACTGGACTACTTCCAGTTTCTTGCTGGGGAGTAATTATCTCTCAAATGGATTTTGGGTAGGGGAGACTCCTGCACCCACTCTTCTAGCCACAGTCTATGGCTGTGAAATTACTCAGAACCATATATGGCTGCTTGGAGAGGAAGTTAGTCCAAATCTGTGGCTCTTGTAAGGATTAGGATCTGGGAGCTCTCTGCTTAAGGATTATGATGACTTCTAACCTCTGTTTTTGGCCTGTAGACCCAGACTAGAGCCTGATAGGGACTCTTACTGTTGGGTACCTTGCAAATACACACCCGAATCACACATCCATCTTGCATTTGAAGAGTTTATGTTGTTTTAAGAATTCTCAGTTTTGCTACTGTAGTTTAATTTAGGATGAATTCCACATTCGACAAAGAATCCTAAAGCATAAAATTGCTAAAACTCCAGGAAGCTTGTGAATCAGATTTCAGTGTGAATCCATGCCTTTATTTACTCAGAACTTTTTAGTTTGCAAATCAGTGTGCTACAAACCCTCCATCTGCACTCCCCCCTCCCACCCCCCCACCCCCTCCACTTCCTGTTACCCAGTAGTCTAAGTGGGATGAATGTGGATTATTGATACAATGAAATGCCTGGCCCCAAATCCCAATTGGTGGGGCCAGAATTTAAGTTTGAGCATCAGGACTCTGAGTCCCTCCCTATATGCCTATTCTCTTGCAAAACTTCTGCTGGAGCAGACCTATTAGGAAGCAGTCTCATGTGGGTCATCCACCCTAATGGTGCTGGGCTCCACACGGATCAGGCTGGTCAGGGTAGCTTTATGTGGGTCCATCTACCTGAAGCCTGAGGGGCTCCAGACCCTGAGCACCATCTCTTTCTAATGTCCTGCCTTCACCTGCTGTGGGTGCTCTATGAACTGGGGCTTGACCTTATCACTCTGTGCTTATTAATTTGCTTCTGAAAAATTTCACTATTTTACCAAGTTTAGTGCTGTGAGATCTTAGATGAAAGAAGTATATTTAAACAAATAGAGTGTATTTTGTTTTTCTTTTCAGGTGTGTCTATCAGATGTCAGAGACCCAACTCAGTGATTAGGGGTTAGTCCTCTGACTTTTCTCTCTCAAATTCTTCTGTCATTATGAGAATTTCCTCAGGGAGACTTCAAATCACAAACAAGGTCACAGCCATGAAACAGATTAAAATAAAAAAGTACTTTTGAGTTTTTTGAGGGAAGGTGCTATAGAAATTCAACCCATATTTAAATTCATGGATATATACCTCTTTGCAAGAAAGAAGGAAAATTTTTTGATGTAGCCACATAGATGATTTAGTGAATAATTTTAGGTACAAACACTGAAGATCCAAATGTCACTTTATGTAAAAAAATACTGTGTCCAACTGAAGTATTAGGATGTATCTCTTCTTCAGTCTAATAGAACATGGCAGGTGATACAGGTATTCAAATGTATTTACTCTCCTACCCTCCTCTCACAAGAGAAATTGCATGCATAAAGCTTGATCACAAGCAATTAAAAGTAAAATGTTCTTCACTAGATTTTTGCAACACATGAAATTGGTGGTGTTGGGGGAGGGGCATAATTCCAACCCCCAGAAAGCCACATCCCAGGGAATGGGAACTGAGCAGATGTGCAAAAACCTATTGTTTGTGAGACAGGAAGAAATCTCCTTGCCTCTTCTTTATTCTTTCCCACACAATCACAGCACCACATAAAAAACATTACAAGTGGATTTAACATGGAAAAAGTAGTTTTGCATTTCTCTTACTGTGAGGAAGCGAAATTTCTCTGTATTGATAATCTCTACCATTAGTTCAAAGGGAAGCATGCCCCACGGAGACACTCGATAATAAAAACCAGGATATAAAATCACCACATATTTTCATGTCTTTGCATGATGGGGATGTAACTTTTAACACTGCATGGTGTTTGGAGCAAGATGCTCATGTGGAAATGTATCTGAAATTTCATTTGTGCTTTTATTCTTTGTCATCTATCCCTTTCGACTAAACTGGAAAAAGAGGCATGGCTCATTTCCTCTGCTGTTTTTAAGGTTGACTTGTAAGATGCAAATAAAAACAAAACAAAAGAAAATATATCTAGTAAAATTACATGGAAAAAAATATACTACTGGTGTTTATTTTCTGCCTTGCTCTGTTGCTTCCTCAGATTGGGAGGAGGAACTGGGAAGTGCATAATGGCTCTGCTGTGATGTTCCACAAAGGCTAGAGTGCCCTCTGGTGGCAGTCTCCAAGATAATAGAGTCCAGGAAACTTTTTCTTTAAAAGATCTATTCTATTGCTGTTGGTCCACACAATTTGACTTGCATATTATAGTACCTTTTATCACTACTGGACATCCACATTTCGTTTCTGGTAATTTTAAAGATTGGCAGATTTCAAAAATTACCATCAATGGTACAAAAACTCCTTAAACCACATAAGATACATTTTTGGGTAAAGTGAACAAAGAAGATATTGAAATCTCTAAATAGTTTGCCTTTGTTTGTATCCACCGATCAGAGGAGGCTAACCTGCATTTGGATGTGATTCACATCTCCCTACAGCTGTCTATACAATGGGTGCATTTTTTTTTCATGTTTTTACCTTCTCTCTCGGTTCTTGCTGCGCTTGCTGAACCCTCCTTTTTCTTCATCCTGCCATCACCAGAGATTCTCGGCTCCCATATTCAAGTAGTAAAAATTATTTTATACCAAAGGGATCAAAAAAAGACCTAGGTAGAGTGGGTTCCTGATTTCTAGAACAGCCTTGTATTAGTTTCTTGTTGCTGCTGTAACAAATGGTCACTGATTTAGCAGCTTAAACAAGTTTTTACTTTGGTGCTCTGGAGGTCAGAAGGCTGAGGTGGAGTTACCTGGGTTAAAGTCAGAGTTTTGGCAGGATGGAATCTTCTGTGAAGGCTCCAGGGGAATACCCATTACTTTCTCCAGCTTCTAGAGGGTACTCACACTGCTTTCCTCCGGTCTCTTTGCCCCAATCTTCCTAACCCTCTGTGCCTTTCTTCTGTAGTTACATCTTTCTCAGACTGACTCTTTCAAGGAACGTGTGGTCACAATCAGCTCAACTGGCTATTTTCAGGCCAGGTGATTTGCAGCCTCAATTCCTCTTGGAATATATACACAGGTTCCAGTGAGCAGGACCTGGACATTATGTCACTTACCGCAAATCTCCCTTTCAGGTATCTTGCTCCATCCCCATGAACTATCACTAACTCCTAGAAACTCCAGAATTTCAAAGTTTTAACAACAAGCTTGAAAGTCCTGTATGTCATATATACTGTGACTTGAATTTGAGTGTATCAAGGGAAGATGATTTTTTTTTTTTTAAAGAGAGAGAGAGAAGAGAGAGAGCCTTCCCCAGACCAAGGGAAGATGATTTTTATCTGAAAAGGAAAACTTCCTGGCTAATGAAATCACACACACAGATGCAATGGGGCCAGTGTTTAATTATCAGATCAGGTGTTCATGGTACCTACATGTAGACAGCTGGTGCCGTCTCTGGGTGTTTGAGGGGTGCAGGGTGATGCACCAAATCCCAGTGAATGTTGGCTGCTCACAGCTCATCACTGCCCTCTTGTCCAGAGCTTGGCCTGTGACTGCATAGGAGGTTCCTCTCTGGAGAGGGTTTCCTGCTCCCCTTTCTCATCCCTCCCCTCAGCAGTTACTGACCAGTAACTCATTCTCACAGGGTGCAGGATAGGACCAGCTCCATGGTGCAGTGTCCACTCCAGGGCCTCCCTGGAGATTAGATTGAAGCTAGGTTCTATCCAGAACACTTCATTAATGAGCTTTCTTCTCCTGCCCTATCCTCCTTCCCAACACCCCTTCTGTGAACCCTCTTCAATACATCGCTTTAACACAATCCCTGTATTGGGCTGTCTTTTTAGGTAGCGTGACCTAAGGCACTTATCCACCTGTCTGCATGGCTCTTCCATGTAGGGGGCACTTTCTGTTCTATGTTGCATAGGGTCCCTGGAAGCACAACAGACTGAAGGTGCTATTGTATTTCTCCAGGCTCAACAATTGTCGACCCAGAGAATGAAATCAGAATGCAAGTGCTCTTTTTCCCCATTCCTTCATGTTAATGTATCATCTATGAGTGAAAATCAGAATCATTTGTTTACCATTACACAGCACATCACAAACACTGATTTTGTGCCTTCTTTACAAAAGCCTTTCTTACATAACTCAAAAACTGGTTGGACTTGAAGTATTTACCTGCCATTACAAATTGTTGGCCAGAGGAGGTGTATGAAATTTCCTCTCCCGTTTTCTTCAACCAGATATCCCAGTTAGGCAAATAATCTCTCTAAGAAGGCACTGCTTGGCAATGCCTGTCACTGGGTGATTTTATGAAGGAATGTGTGTGATACTTTTGTATTCAATGCCATGTTTATAAACTGTATGAATCAAGGTTCTTTTTCTTTCTTTATTTTTGCCTATGAATGTCCAACTGTTCCTGCACCTTTGTTTGAAAATGATTTTTCTTCATCAAATTTGCTTTCAAACCTTTGTCCAGAACAAGCTCGGTGTATTTATGCAGGCCTATTTCTGGTTCTCTGTTCTGTCATTTGATCTCTATTCTGTGTCAGTACCACTCAGCCCCTGATTACTGTAGCTATGTAAATAAAGATTAGACCAGGGATAATTTCTTCCTCCTAATTTCTTCTTTTTCAAAATCTCTTAGCTAGATTCTTTTCTTCTTCTTTTAGAATAATCTTGTCTATATCTATAAAAAATATTGCTGGGATTTTAATAGGAATTACATAAAAACCTGCATATCAATCCATGGGAAAATTGACATCTTGAGTATGTTGATTGAGTCTTCTAGCCTATAAACAAGGTCTGACTTCCAGTCTATTTTTGATGTCTTTAATTTCTGTCATGAGTGTTTCATAATTTTTAGCAAATGAATCCTGAATACTTTTGGTAGATCAACAGCTAAGAATTTCATTTTTTTTGAGTGATTATAAGTGAAATTGTATTTTTCATTTCAGTGTCTACATGTTCATTGCAAGTATGTAAAATACAACTGTTTTTGAGTGTGTGTATCTTAAATGCTGTGATTTTTATTAATTCTAGAAGATGGATTTTTGAAAACTTTATTTTTTTGAAAAGATTTCTTAGAATTTTATTGACAATCATATCATCTGCAAATGGGAAGTTTTAATTTTTTTCATCTGGGCTATATGGCTTATATTTTTATTTCCTCTTTTATTGTACTGGCTAGAAATCCAGCATAATGTTGAGTAACAGTAGTGAGACTGGAGGCCCTGACTTTGCTCCCATTCACTGGGGATACACATTCAGCCTTTCACCATAAGTGTAATAACAGCAATAGTTTTTTAGTAGATATTACTTACCAAGTTAAGGAATTGACTTTTCCCACTTATTCTTTTCCTCTGAGAATTTCTATGATGAATGAGTGTTGAATTCTGTCCAATGAATGGTCTGCATTAGTTGATATTATCATGATTTTCTTCTTGAACTCTTAATATGTTAGAATGCTTGATTTAGTTTTGAATATCAAACTAGCCTTGCATTCCTGGAATAAACTCCACTTGGCTGTGGTTTATAATTCTTTTCTAGTATCACTGAACTTTATTCTAATATTTGTTAGGAATATTCATGTCTATATTCTTGAGAGATATTGGTCTATAATTTTTTAGTATATCTTTATTTTGTTTTGTTATTTGCATATAATTTCAGAAAGTAAATTAGGGCGAGCACTCTACTCTTACATTTTCTGGGAGAGATTGTTTAGAATTGATATTAATTTTTCTTTAAATATGTAATATAGTTATCCAGGAAAACATTCTTAGCTTAAAGATACCTTTTTTGGAGAATTTTTAAATAACATTTTATTTTCTTATAGGATATTCATTTCCTGTTTCATATTGGGAAACTTGTGGTAGTCTATGGCTTTTGAGGGATTAGTCCATTTCACATAAATGGCCCAACTTACCTTTGTTGAGTTTTCTATAATATTCCTTATTATCCCCTTAATATCTGTAGATCTGTAACTCTTTATTCCTGTATGGGAAATGTGTGTTTTCTCTCCTGCTAAAGGTTTGCCAGTTTCTTTCCAGACCATTATCCTTTTATTGTATTGGTTTTCTTTCTTGCTTTTCTGTTTTCAGCTTTTAGTTGTATATTGTGGGAGAAATAGGGAAAAGTACATCTACTCCACCTTCTCTGGAAGTGGTGAATTTATTCTGTATTCCGCTCTTCCTGCTTTCAAGTTTAGAATCTGGCACAGGGCATAACTAGTTAAAAAGGGAAATTTCAATTCATCATGTTAAGTGTCAGGATGGGAGAAAGCATGGGGTGCTTTGGGAATATGGAGGGAGAACATAGCAGGCACATTATCGTGAAAAATGCTTTCTGGAGAAAGTGGCATCTTTATTAAAGAAAGAAAAGAATAGAAATTGGCTAAAAGGCAGTTTTCCAGTGGCAGGGGAAGGGAGCACATCTCTAGTGGAACGAATGGCCAGAATGTGGCGTGTAGAAAAATGACAGATTGTTTTGCTGATGGAGTGAGTGGATTGTGTTTGGGTAGGATTTTAAGGAAGGAGGCTGTGACCTTAACCAAGGACAGGATGGATTCATCTAGAAGGAAAACCGGGAGCCACCGAGAGGTTTGAAGTGAGGTATTGGCATGATCAGAGTTGTGTGCTAAGAGTGTCTGGCTGCTGAATGAAGACTGGTTAATACAAGGCTAGAGGAGAGGGAGGCAGCCAGAGCCCTTTGCAACTCCCTAATAGATGGTGACTGTATGGTAGGGGCAATGGGGTGCATAGAACAGGGACTTCAGAGACCTCATGGA